TTTATGTAATGCGTATAACATCTATATGCATTTAAACTTGTTTTTCTTTGTTTTCTAGAAAACAGGATAAGATTTAAAAAAAAAATTGTGTAAGCAAAAGGTTTTGAACCCAAGCGAAGCACTTCAATCGCTTTGGAATGCTATATCATCTTTTTACACTATTTAATAAACAGAAAACTTATTAAACTTTAAAAAACAACATTTAATGCTTTAAAATAAAGAGATATTGTCGCAATGAAATTTTTAAGTAAAAATAAATCGGTAGAATTTGATGTCATCTACTTCATAATAATACTGATTGATAATTAAAGAACTTAAAGTTTACATATTTAGATAATTGAATAGACTTTCGTTCACATTGTTAAAAAACAAATCATAACGGATTGTGGTTCCGAAAAAAAAGGTTAATACACTACCATCTGTAATTATTGGAAAGGTCATATTTTTTAATATCAAATATATCAAAGTTTGGCGAAAAAGTGAAAACAATGTCTACCTGAATTATATGTTATCTTCCTATTTATTAGGTTTACAAATAAAACTTCCCTGATTAGTTTATAATTTATTCAAAACCCTGATTAGCTTTTAATTTATTTGCCTATTAATCACCCTTAACAACAATAACCACCATAAATATATTCTTAGCATTCTACTTAACGACTTATCTAATTAGTCTATTTTGTCACTAAGTTTTTTCAAAAAAAAAAAAATACACATGTATTAACTGTATATCAATTTATTTATCTATTTAATTTAATATATATATAATATATAATTTAATATATATAATTTAATCTAATTAATATAATTGAAATACTACTAATCAATTTACTGATATTTTTTCTATAGCATTGTTAAAAATGGTTATATTCTGAAAGGTAAAGAAATTTATTGAAAAGAAAGTTGCACAAAAGAAAAAAAAAAACTAAATAAAAGTTACTTGTTTCAAAAAACGTTTTACGAAGAGTTTTTCCAAACAATTTTATTTTTAATTGCGTTTTTTTTTTTGAATTACGTCATAAGCATATTAAGGCGTTTTGAAAAACAGTTGCTGTATATATTTATAGTAAAAAAGTTAATGTAGCAAAATAAACTTTTAATTGCCAAAAGAAAGTTTTAAAGTTTTATCTAGCTACAGGCTTTTTTTTTTTTTTTTGCCTCCACAGCAGCATCTTCTGAAGTAGCAGGGCTGTCTTGTTAAGTTTTTTCTTTATTAAGTTTCAGACAACTTTTTTTTCAGACCATCCGCAGCTTATTAGGACTAATTACATGAGCACATTAATAACATAAGTGTCTCAATTATCATAGATACGCAACATATTTTTTCTCCTAGTGATGTTTTTTTTTTTTTTTTAATGTTTTATGAAGTTTTAGCTTTCTTAAAATCTTTTCTTTTGTGAGTGCATAACATCGTTACATATGTTTGTATATAATCTTTATAAAACTTCGAAAGTATTTTGTATTTTAAAATAATTTAAAAAATTAAAAAAAATAGCCGCCATTGGTAGGAGTCGAACCTCTAGCTCCTTGTTCAGAAGGTCGCCGCCTTATCCACTCGAGCTACACCAGCATATTATTATGTGTAGATTTTATAATAATGTAGTAATTTTTTTAAGGAAAAAATTGTTAGATCAAAATTAAGGAGAGGTTGACACAATGTAATTTTCAAGTAAAAATCAAACTGTAAAACATAATAAATGTTTCAGTATGTTTTAACATTTGCTTTAACCTTACTTAGTTTAAAGTTTACGTACGTTAGATATTCGTTCACGTATTCTTATAGTGCTGCGACTCTTTCTTGCCAATACCTCGGTTGCAATGGCTGCCAAGGGTTTCGTGTCAAATACGCTCCAAGGGACACTACTATTAAGTTTGGCAATATTATATAGATTATTATTAGTGCGCATAGTTACGCATTGTTACGCCTATTGTTCGTTTTGTTAATTACGGTTCTGCATTTTGTAAAATACACTATTTCTTAGTTTTTAAGTTGTTTCTAGACTTTTCTAAGCGCCGTTATATATTCCACGCGGTCTTTCGAGTAAAATCAGCAAGCAAATTGAAGCTGATTCGCTTACTTTCAAGAAGAATTGATGTTGTTTATTTTTTCAAATAAAAATTTAAATAATTGTTAGTTTGTTATGTATATATATATATATATATATATATATATATATATATATATATATATATATATATATATATATATATATATATATATATATATATATATATATATATATATATATATATATATATATATGTATATCTATATGTATTTTCTCTTAGCAAAAATAGTTGAGAATAAAAAAACAAAAAAAATTTCTTCTGAAATTTGTCAATAATGCACAGTAAATATTCTTTAGTGTGAATTTATCGATAAAATGACGAATTGTTGAAAGTATGCCGTTAGCTCGAGTTAGTTTCTTGCGTAGCTTATCAATATGAAAGTTCCACAAAAAATTGCAGTCAATCAAAACACCGAAATATTTGATAACTTTTGTAGGATATAACCGTTTATTATTAGTTTTGATTTGAATTTTAGAATTGTTGTTTAGATTTTGTTTTTTTCTAGAAGATCAAAAAAGGATTAGTTCGTTTTTTTTTGGCGTTAAGACATATTAGGTTAGCATTTAAGCAGTGAAATTGGTTTTATATATATTAGATCCGAATTTATGTTTTTACATAGAGAATTGTACGTTTTGTTGATATGCAATAGGTTTGTGTCATAACCAAATAGATGAATTGACGAGAAACGAACAGAGTTGTTTTTGTCATTAACATAAATTAAGAACAAAAGAGGACTAAGAACAGAACCTTGAGGAACACCACACACAACAGATTTATTAGTAGAATTATAACCGTTAATATTTAAATTGTCTCCGATCTCTAAGAAAAGATCAAAACCTGTCACTTACAACACCAGGAATATCATCGTGTTCTAATTTAGAAATGAAAATGTTATGATCAATGGTATCAAAAGCTTTTTGTAAATCTATAAAAATACCATAAATAAAATGACCAGAGCTGTCAGTTATACTTATCAATACATGCAACCCAAACTCTGATTTTCTATTTATCTAATTTTTTTCTTTTCTGTTGTGTTTTAATATTTTTTGTTAAATTTAACAAAAAATATTAAATCACAACAGAAAAGAAAAAAATTGGATTAAAAGGAAGCTCAGAATTAGGGTTATAAATAATATGTTGAATGAAAGAATAAAATTTATAAGCAATGTTTTTACTAAAAAGTAGTTAATGAGAGCAGTTTTAAATTTTGAGAATATATTACATGATAAATTCAGTAAAAAAATATTAACAAAGAAATCGCTTGAAATTAAAAATTACCATGAAATGTGGATTTAATTAAAATAAATGAATTTGTAATAAGTTTTCAACTCAAGGTAAGTACTTTGAAAAGTTCTAAACGGTTTCTAAAACTAAATATTCATATCTTTGGATCTTCAACAAAATTTTTAGTTATACTTATCAATGCATGGCAGGTAGAATGTTTTGAAAAAAAAAAGGTTAAAAGAGTTAAGAAAAGAGTACAATCTAAAATGCATTAGTTTTTCAAGAAGCTTACAAATGTTAGATAAAAGAGAAATAGGTCTGTAGTTAACACATAAAAGATTAGAGTCCTTTTTAAATATTGGAATAACACAAGATAATTTTAAAGCATTTGGAAAAGTTCCATTTATGAATGATATATTAAATAGTTTAGAAAGAATATTTGAAAATTCATCCTTAAAATTGATAAGAATGTTTGTGGGAATGCTATTTGGGCCTATTGATTTTCTCGGCTTCAAATTAGATATAAGAGATGAAACTTCAGGAATATTTGTTGGAGATAGGAGTAGACCATGTAAATTTGGATATTTAAGATATTTTGTATAGTTTACGTAAGACGAATGAATATTGGATTTGAGATTTTGTGCGACGTTTGTAAAAAAGTGTTAAACTTTTTAGAGATTTGATTCAGTTATATATGTTTCATTATCTTGTAAACAGTTGGGAGATAAACGATTAGAGTTTTTGACATTTATTAAATTATTAATTCCTTTCCGAATTTCGTGAAGATTTTTTACATTATCTCTAAAGAACTTTTTAAAATTCATTTTTTTATTAAGCTTCATTAAGGTTATTATCTAAAGTTAAATTATCTTAAGTTAAATTAACTTTTTTAAGAACTATAATATAGTTCTGCATATAAAAGGTTGATTTACTAAATTATATAGGGAGAGAATGCAAACAAGACTTTTTTGATTCAAAATTTCAAGATGTAAAATAAGTAGGTTCTTGTTTGATTATAAATTAAGTAGGTGCTAGTTACCTTATTAATGTTTTAATAAAAAAATAACTAATATAAAATAAAACTTAACTTAACTTATAATGCAAATCCGCATAACTAGCATTGGACCGCGTATCTGCACTAGTTTTAAAGGAGTTTAATTATTTATTAATTTCAACAGATTTTGGGCTCATTTTGACATAAAGAGTCTTATTCATGTTCTTTGTAATGTTAACAATAGGTATTATTGAGTTTAAGCATACACGCGTTATCTCCACACGGTTTAAGTACAAACGATGGCAAGTTTGCTGCCATTGCAAATTTAAAAACCTTAGAGCATAAAAAAACTTTCAACATGCGCGTTTTAAGTCATTTTCATGAATTGAAACGCGGATGTTGAAACGCATAATCATCACTTATTTTTACTTAAAAGTATTTCCAAAAACAATTTACGTGAAAAACAATTAAAGCGATTTTACTAAAATATCTGCATCTTAAATTTAAAATCTTAAAAAAAAAGACGAAAGGACTAGGAGTTACAAGAGACGTTTACTTCAAAAATATCAAACCAAATCACTCAAAACAAAAGTATGAGTTTTAAGCTCAATAATCATCCAATGCTAGTTACGCGAATTCGCATTATCCCATACAATCATTTTATAATCATATAAGTTTATAGTTTCAGTGCGTTATGCAGTAGGTTACTTACAACAAATTCATACGTTGGCACAGCTGCAGCTATTGAAAAAAACAGCAATTTTATATATTTCCAGTGCGTCTAATAGCGCTCTTATATATATATATATATATATATATATATATATATATATATATATATATATATATATATATATATATATATATATATATATATATATATATATATATATATATATATATATATATATATATATATATATATATATATATATATATATATATATATATATATATAGCAGATTTATATGATTTTACATTTTTCCATGAAATAAAATATAATTTTATTATGTTATACAATGTTATACAATAATATTGCAGATTAGGCTTTATTATATCATGAGTATTACACTATATTTTAATGTAAAGTAAACTTAATTTTTTGTAGTTTTACTTTAAATGGTTATATCTTTTGAACGCCAAGATATTTTATTGAATTTTTGAATATGTAACTGATGCTTGGTTTTTCTAAAGATGGCATAATTTTTTTTTTAATAAATAAAGGGGGGCAAGGGGGGGAATTGCCCTGATCCCCTTTAAAAATTGATTTTCTCATCAGGACGTACTTCAAATAATTTGTTCTTTTCATAATATTGTCTGTATAATAGTCCTGAACACTTTGTAATAAATTTTTTTTAAGTAATCAAATTTTCAACTTTAACGACCTAGAATTGACTAGTGTAAATCAAATAAACGATGATTAAAAACGTAAACAAATATTATTTAACTTGCAGCTTTTCAACTTATAAACAATTTAAATGTCATGTAACACATGTATTTAATTGGTGACTTTTTGCATGAAGTTCATATTTCTGTAAAACAATTTAATGACTTTAAAGCAACCCAACCATCGGTTTTTACGCATATTTTTAGAGGCTTTCAGTTAATCAAAATTGGTTGCTATGGGCGTTGCTACGAAAGTTGAGTTTGGAGTTTAAGAGTGCCTTTTTTTAAATAGAAAGTTAAGTATCATATGAATTATTTTAAGTGAAACAAATTACATTGGCATTTTCTGCATAGCTCAGTTTACTTAAAAACATTCACATTGAAATTTTCAATTTTTACTTTTTTTTCACCCAAGTACCACCTTAAACAACAGACAATCAACTTATTTGTATAACATTCAGGGTGATGAAATGATATAATGATATTATGGAGCATGACGTGTATTTAGAAGCAAAATGCTAACCAATACGTTGAACCATTTTAAAAGCAGATTCTAAAGTTAACACTTTACAGAATTGCGTAAATATCATAAAGCAAATCTAAATATTAGTAATAATAGTATAAGTATAACATTGTATTGATTGAAAGCAATATTTGCAAGAGTTGCAGATGATTTGCAAGAGTTGCAGATGATTTGCAAGAGTTGCGGATGATTTGCAAGAGTTGCGGATGATTTCAGAAATTAATATATTCTTACGACGGAGTTATTTGCAACGCAAATAACTCCGTCACTTTTGTTAACAAAAAGACTATTTTTTAACTTGTTAAAGGTTTGGTTTCCCACAAACAAACAAAATATGCTAGCCATGCTCTCGTCTTTAAGCATTTGTTAACCTGCCCTGTTTTACAGACAAAAACTCTTCTTCTTCTTAATTTTAGGGGGTATCCCACCTTCATCAACTCCCCCCCCCCCCGCCACACACACACAAACCAAAGCTGTTAAATGTTCATTTGAGTTGGCAAGTTGTAAACTTTAGTCGGCAAATATCAAATAACGAGTACTTTTTTCTTTTCTTTTTTTTTGGTCATTAGTTGGCAAAAAACACATACAACCCCTGCCATAAACTTGCAAGACCTCTTCGGTTGGCCCTGATTACTTGCTGCATAATCATTATTATATATTATATGAATGTAAGCAAACAAGTAGTTCTTTCAATAACGTAAACCGTTGAGTAATCTAAAATACTTCAATGTTTTCAGAAACTCTAATTTGTGATAATGAAATTTTAACAATTGTAATTTTTAACAACAAAATCTTCAAAATCTTTTTTCACATACCAAGTTAACATTATTAAACTGTAATAGCATACAACTAATGATTTTATAAATTGACGATTACCAACATTTGATAGTGCTACCCCGGGCAGTAACCAATGAGCGGGTACCCAAAGGCACGAGTACCTGTTGACTAAATTTCGTTTTTAAATCAAATTAAAAAGTTTAATTTCTATCAAACTTTTTAGGAGTTTAGAGTGTCAAACGTACAAACTATTTTGTAAAATGGTAAATAAAAGACAATTTTGAATTATAATAGTCGTAGAGAATTTTAGGTGCTCCAAGAGGCTTTAACGGTTTTATCTATTATATTAACTATGGTAACATTGGCGGGCTAGCACATAATCCTCTAAACTTAAAAGAATATTTAGTGTACAAACACATGCTGGCATAATTATATACGGATAAAAAAAATTTGAGCATACAGAGCCATTAATCAGGGAAATGAAGATGATGAAAGTATACGAGATAAACACATATCAACACATGATCTTTATTTATAATCATTTGAAAAATCTCACACCGAAAAACTTTGAAACAAAATTTAAGATAAATCAAAACAATAACTACTCTTTGAGATCAAACGAGAGGCTCAAATATACACTGCCTCGTAAACTAACTGAATACAAAGAATATAATATAACATATCGAGGGCCTAAGATATGGAACAGCTTTAAAATAACCACATCAATATGGTGAAAACAGTAAATTCATTTAATATTCATATAAAAAAAGAAATTTTGAGATCAAATGACTGCTTTAAAAATATATACACTACCATTTTTTAATATGCACTATCGTTTTTTAACTTAATTTTTTGATATATTCAAAGGAATTTATTTCTCTTATTGTCTTTTTTTCTTTATTTTTTTTTACGGAGTTTTTTTTTTTTAAAAGATTTTAACGGAGCTTTTTTTTTTTGAATATTATTTTATACTAATAACTTTTTTTTTCTTTTGCTCTTGTTAAAGCTCACATTGGGGCTCGATGAAAAGGTTGTGGCGACTCTCGTTATCCATATCTTCATTGAGCCTCTGTCTGTATATATATATATATATATATATATATATATATATATATATATATATATATATATATATATATATGAAAAAAAAATCACAGAGCACCACGGAATAGCATTTAACCAGGAAGTTCAGGCCTTCTTTCATACAATAATGTGTATACATGTAATGATGCATATATGGCCAGAGCTGATGAATCATGACCATCCAGTCCTGAAGTCATTTAAGTTATCTATAAAATGTTTTTTATTTATTTCTTAAAAACAATGAAGCTTTTTTAAAAATTTAATAACTTTACATTAAATAAATAAGAAAAATGTTTACAACAACATATATAATACTCTTGAGAAAATTGGTGTGCAAGTTGATTAGACACTAGATAATCGGTCTCGAGTCTCAATTTCTCGTCTGGTATCGGTACGATACCATATAGTATTGGTATCGAAATTACGCGATACTGTTACCAAAAGTATCGGTTATCAAGACCAAACGGTACCAACCGTTTGGTTGGTACCGTTTGGTTTTGATAACCGATACTTTCGTTTGGATCCGCCCTTTGCTGTGTGCAGTTTCTCATATCATTGTTCCAACTCTATATAATTTTAATCGGAATTAAAAATAATTATAGGGAATAGTTTTGAAATCATTAAAAAGAGTTTTTCATATAATTCTCCAAAGGAAAGTGCTTGTGATGCAATCTTAAACGATTATTCTGAACGAGTATTGGAAATTGTTCAAAGGCAATTCGGTTTGTAACTATCATTGAAGAGTTTTTCATATAACTCTCCAAAGGAAATTGCTTGTGATGCAATCGTTAATGATTATTCTAAAAGAGTGTGGGAAATAATTGTTCAAAGGAAATTGATTTCGTAACAGTCATTACAGTTATTTAAATTTAATTAATTCTCTGATATCGCATCCATATTTTAATTTCTTATCTGGTATCTTACTTTAATTAAATCTCTCGTGGTATCGTAATTCTCGCCTGGTCTTTCGTTCTGTGCTCAACATTCAACAACTAAACTTTAGTTTTAAACAATTAAACATAAGCATACTTTAATTATCAAAAAAAGCTAATCTTCACAATGCTGGGAAATAATCCTGAGATTCATTACCGACAGAATTAGTTTTATATATAACAACTTAACTCTATATCGTTGTAGTTTGGTAAAGCAGATAAAGTTAAGGCCAGTGAGTCCAGAGATCTAGATTCAAGTCTTTCCGAAGAGCTTAATTTTTTTAGTTTCTGTTAATTAAAAGTGCACTTTATTTTTTACGTTTTAACGTTATAACTATTATTGTTTATTAACTATTAAAATTTTAAAAAACTAAATTTATTTGGTGGAGCAAAAATTCATAAATTTGACATTGTTTAGATGTAAAATTTACAGTAAATGCCCCTAAAATTATTAAAATATTAATAGAAGAAAATCCTAAAATTCCAGCGAAAGTACAGCAGAAGAAAAACAACGAATGAATTATAGCCAAAGTATTGTAGATTGTTAAGAAACAGTAACTAAATCTCTAAAAAGCAATTGTATTTGCATTTTGTTAATAAAAAATTCAATAAGTCACATTTTAATTTTTTTTGTTTTTTTTGTTTTATTGAGAGTCTCGATTCGAGACCATGCGATACTATACAATTCTTTTTATTATCGGTATCGTTTGGTATCGATGCGATACTAATAGTATCGACATTGGTACATAAGCGATACCACACAATACGAGACCATCTTTCTCGGTATCGAGTGGTATCGAACCGATACTTAGAAAATGCATATGCCATCCAACGGGGTTTTCCTACAAATTGCCGCGCTTAAAGCGATTTTCTTAACATTTACAAATTGTGCTGAATCATGGCCTATTTAATTTACAAATGTAAATTAAGTAGTCTATGGCTAAACATGTGCTTATGATTCTGCTATTATGTTGATAAGCTGTTATAATTTAGATTAAATAATGTAAAAGTAAAACGCCATTTTAAAAAACTTTGACTTA